CCGCTTCGTGTTTTTCTTCAATATCTGCTTTAATTTCTGCAGTATTCCTTTCAATATTTCCGGCAACATTTCTCTCCAAATCTGCGAATTTAGTTTCAACAGTTATGTTATTCTTCTCTATTTTCGCTATTCTTTCCTCCACACCTGCCAAAGTTTTCGTTATTTCCTCGCACGAATGACACTTCAACTTTCGGAATTTACAGACTTCGCTTTCATGGTGAATTTGATCACGCTTGTTTACAATTAAACCACAGCCTTGGTTTGTACAAACGGCAGGTGTATATCCACACGTTTCCTCGTGGCGATCAAGATGCTGTAATTGTACAACTTCTGGACAACCTCTTTCGATGTAAACGCAACGAATTTTCAATTCATTTATAAGATTCTTTACCATCCGTGGTGGTTCGACCAAAGTCTCTAATTTTCGAGATGTTTCGTGATACAAGAACGGCAAAAACAATGTTGGTTTATCGGACAAACGACCGGTTCTTTTAAGACGTTGAAGCAAATCTGACAGAGGAAGTTTTGATTGACTTTGTTGTCAAACCTTTCTTCGTCGTAGCCTTGTATAAATGAAGCCATATTTCACGTCGTTCTTGTGTCGTAATAATAAAGCAATTTCTGTGTTTATATTTATCGCTCTGGAGTTTATACCTCGCTCTATAGCCTCAATATCGATGCAGTGTTCGTTCTTGGTGAAACGTGTGACTTTATTTGCTTGCAAAATCTTCACAAAAATTATCAGTTTATGACTTGTGAGGGCAAATCATACATATGTCATATGACAAAATCGCTTCCGCATACCGGAATTCCTGGAATTTGCTTCCAATTTCTAGCTAATAGAGAGCCGGAGTCCCGAGAGCTGGAGCCGAATTAAACTTTTTATGATATTTTCAACAGGTTTTGAAGATAACTGCAACAATTTAACAGAAAAATCGCTAATTGCATGTGTAATAATATTATCATTTAAGGATATAATATTTATTCGTCTGTTAAAACCTCATGAATCTAGTTAGAATGTAATTCTCATGCATCCAGCACATGTATGCAGATCAATAATTTCTGTGTCACAAGTTTAGACATTACATATTCGAAATCTGCATGCCTTGGTAACAGCACAACTCAACTGGAGTGATATTTACTGATATGTTTAAATTTTTCATGCTTAAAAATTTTTCATTCTTTTATGGTATATATAAGCTTTGCAATGTATCAGCTTGCCCGCAACACAAGACTGCAATATGTAATTGCAAAGGTAGGGGTCTCGGTGTGGCTATTATAGGGGTGGCCATCATCCCTATGCCCCTTGCAAACTTATAATAGCATGTGTCATAGACATTTCCCAATTTGATCTCCATTTTTAATGCAAGGTTATATTAATATTATGATGTATGGTCTTCGCACTGGAGCTGTTTGTTATCATATGGACCTTCACATATGTACATTCTTGTAATTCTATGTTTTCCTTCTGTGTGTAAGGGTGAATGTGCCCTTTTCAAAAGCTCTACCCCCACAATACCCCCCTTCCCCCTAAGCCTAAGCTGCTTCTGGGGTTCTTGCATAATATTAGGTTTCCTAGGGTTGTACCTCGACTAATGCCATCATAGGAACAGGATTGAAGAAATGCAAGCCACCAAATCTGTCTTTTCTTTTCGTCACTTTGGCAATCTCAGAAATTGATAATGAGGAGGTGTTGGATGCAAATATTGCGTGACTGAAACAAACAATTATGCAAGAGTTAAAAAACATCCAGGAACAGGTGTGTTACTGGGGTAGGAGAATGCTCTATGTTTAGGAAAGAGAAATGAAGGGTGGGTGTTTTTTTTGGGAGGAAAAACTAACTTGGTAGAAATGTTACTTACCTTGGAGCTTTGCTGTCTAATTCTGAGAATAACTTATGCTTGACATTCATATTTTCAACAATTGCTTCAATAACAAGGTCAGATTCAGATACGGCTTCTCCAGAATCAACAGTTGTATTTATACGAGACATTATATCAGTTATAAACTTTCCACCAGCCTAAAGAAGTATGAAAATCAATCTAACTAAACAAGTTAAAAGTATATATTACAGGAATCTAACTTCAGTGAAATTATAATCAGAAAACTGTATATTACAGGAATCAAACCTCAGTCACAGAGATGAAAGACACATGTACTAACCACTGTGTTTGGTAGAGTCAAACTAGAAGCACTCTAGCACTCACATGTGACTGAGGTGAAATTATAATCAGACAACTGTATATTACAGGAATCAAACCTCACTCACAGAGATGAAAGACACTATAATAAAGTATTAAATATAACAGCACATATGACCTCTGCATCATCTTTGAATTTCTTCTTAACAACTCTCTGTAAACTTTTCTCAATTGACTTGATAGCCTTGCCCAAAATATCCTCAGTTTGATCAACAAGTACAACATTATGGTTTGTAGAGGCTGCAACCTGCATGTTAATCGAGATGATAAATTTTCCATTGTTACCAAGAATTACAATTTTACGAATGCTTGGTAAACTCATGGTGGTTGAAACTTTCATTCAAGTCTTCTACCACCCTTGGAGGAGTCACAAAACACAACCCCCCCCCCTGGAAAGATGATTTTAGTGATTTATCCCTCGAGAAACAGTTAGCACCATATTTAGTCGGGCATGTACCCCATCTGGTTAATACTACAAATTCACCCCTTGAGAATTAATGCCCTTAACAGAGGGTATGACATTGTACGATAAATAAAAGGGGCAATGACCCAATGAGTAGCAAAAATAGCAGGTTTAAATACTTATAACTTAAGCACTGATTTTCGTAAATAATCCCCCAAATAGAATTGATATACCTAAACTTGCACCCCTGCTGCACTCCCTAGTAAATCCAGCCCTGGTTTAATGAAATAATAGCATTTGCATCAACTTTTTTAAACTATTAATGAAATAAAGGGCGGTTTTGAAAGCATACCATCTACTGCAGATTGTTATACAAGGTTTCGTTTCATAACTTATCTAATGAATCTACTTTGATAAAAGAAAAGCCCCCAAACAAACCTGAGCGATCCCGGACCCCATCAAACCACTGCCAATGACGGTGACATTTTTTACTGCAGAAAATCGTTCAGAAGTTGAGCTAAAAGAAGCTGCCATTTGTGGGCCAAAAGCTTTCTTTAACAATATAAACGGACGAGTTGAACGTAAGCTAAGCATTACTGCACTTTCGTAGAGGTTTTACTTCGCTTTCCCGGGCAAAAATGTTTTAAAAATTGGTCTAAATTTGCTTGCTAAATCTCCACGTTGTACAAATGTGCATTAGCGATTAAAGGGCAAAGTTCGAAGTGCTTTTTGTCTAATACTTGTCGCGAAAAAAATATCGAGAAAAATGTTTCAGCCCGAAATTTTCTGGCGAAAATTTTCGGATAAGAATAGGTACGCGAAAGGTGCGGAAGCTGGTTATTGGTTTATAACACTGAGCTATATAATAGTTCCTGGAGGACTTATTAGATAGGTATAGCTTAGTATTGAGCTATTAAAATGTTTCTATGTATTTAGGAGTAAAATAGATAAAAATATACGTTAATTTTGATAGCCTCATGCTATGATAAAAAACGTTTAAAATACTTTATAAATAAATTTATTCGAATCTATGCTTGCACACAGGTTTTAGCAAGGAGGGTGACTTAGAAACACTAAGATGCCCCCCTAAAACCAGCCTACTACTCCCCCTCCATCCGATGCATCGTGTGAAAACTATTATGTTTACCTGTCGGCGAGAGACCAGACTTATTTGGGTTTACAAAATGTTCATAAATTATTCTCCTTGTTATGATTTTGGCTGATTGTAGGAAATTGGAACCTACATTGACTGCGCATGTCCGTTGATTAGTTCACGATTTAGGTATTAACTTTTGGTATTGATGAACGTTTATATTGCTTATTATGTATGTAATTATGTCTCCTTTTGACATTTAAAGATAATGTAAAATCCATTCTGCGCATATATACCGCGCATAACAAAGTTTGTTTACGTTTGTTATATAATCTTTACATGACGTATGTGTTGTTTTAATTTTCTTATTTTCTTCTCGTTCCCGTTCGACCGACTGTGATGAATATGCTTATTTCATATTATATTTTGAAGAAGATATAAAGCGAAGCTTGTAAATAAACCGTTATTTAAAACTTTATGTATTTGTAATTGTAGGACAAGCGAGAAAGTAGCGTCTGTAGCGACGACAAATAGCCTCGCCATTTCGGGCCTCATTCAACAAATAAATACTTGAAGCACTACGTTCAGCATAATATTACTTTCAGCATAACACTCGCAATTCGAGCCTCCTCGCCTTGCAACATAAATAAAATAATTGTGCCCCCGAACTTTCCGTTTGTAATACAACGCGCTAATATCGCATATCATTAATATTCCAAAAGTTGCTCCCCCACTAATGGCATGTGTTGCAGCGCGGAATATATGCGCAGAACGGACTTTACATCATCTTTAATTAAATTATCCATGTAGCTATTTACACAGGTGGGCATCCTGAATCTCTATCTGAATCTTTGGTTAGTTTCTGACGAGGGCAATGAAAGATTAAACCCTATCTATCTATTCATATTAGAAACAAATGGGTCGCATTAGCGATGAAGATTTTTCAAAGATTTCTTAAACTTCGATATAAATAGCAGATTGAAATAATCCTGCTGGAAATCGGATCAACCTTTTGAACGGAAATAACTTGCTGGAAATCGGCAATCAATTCTTTTGACAGAGATAATTAATAATTTAGCAATGCCAAGTATTCTCTTCCTTCAGCAAGATAGTTGGATGTTAACGTGTTTTTAAAATTGATTCTAATTGGATGAGGATGAGAGAAAGCGATGTGATTGGCTAAGAACCAACGATGCTGTTCTCCTTGTTTCATGGCAAAAGAACAATTCACTTTAAAACACAATCATTTTGGAGAAACACATGAAAAGTGTCAGACGTTACATTGAATTCCCTTTCAAAAAAGATGAAACCGATGAGAATAATTTTGATCTTTGCGTTCGTTCTGTTCAGTTTATTGTTGGTTTTCGCCAAGGAAGATGAGCTTGAATCACAGCAAAGGTAATCTGAAGGCACATTACGTTTTTAGGCTATATTCTTCAATTAGATCAGTTCTCTCGATAAACGACGACCTCCTTGCATTGAGAAAGAACGCTTGGTAAGAGGAAACGATTATCCCAGATAATAACAGACGGTGTTTTTTTTTCTTCCAGCAACGACCTCGTAAAACGAACGACAAAACCAACCTCTTGTACGGGGCTTCGAGGATTGCCAGGTCGTGATGGTAAGTGGCCTTGCTTTGAAATATCTCATGCTACCTCAATATTTTTGTACGCAGAACATGTATTTGATGTCTCTCAGTATTTGAATGATTACAAAAATTTGGCAGTTTGAGGAGAGGAAGTGAAACCACTCGATCTCACCAAGATTGACCAAAACACAATACCACAATAATCTTGCTGCTGACCACAGTCATATAGTTTAGATGATAAAAACCATTGTTGTAATATGAAATAAACCCAAATTTGCCCTATTGTGTTCCAAGAGCTAAACAAACAAGTACTGCAGTGGCACTTAGTTTTTGACACTGAAGAATTTGAGTTACACGAGACATTGACCAGAACAATATAAAATATTTCGGAAAATTTATCAGGAAACTTCATTATTGACTAAAGATTTCATTTTCAGGTAAAAATGGCAAGAATGGTAGAGATGGTAGGGATGGTAGAGATGCCACGTTACGCGGTAAGTAATCACTGAATCTCACAATTAGTTTACGACATATTGTATTTATATACGAATAATTACTTTCGTTGTTAGGTGAACGCGGAGAAGCTGGTGTTCCCGGACCACGAGGCCCCCCGGGGCCGCCAGGAAAACCACCAGGGGGTGTGGTGTACACCAGATGGGGACGGAAACATTGCCCTTCGAAAACAATCGAGATGTATTCTGGTAAGAAATCCGCTAATTTTCCGTCATGGATCTTTTCAAATCAAATCACCCTATTTAATTGAATTATCATCACAGGTGTGATGGGAGGATCATATTACGATAATCCTGGTGGAGCTTCAAACTATGTCTGCCTACCATTGAATCCGATTTTTGACAAATACGTCGATGGGACTCAAGCGTCAACGCTTATACACGGTGTCGAGTATCAAATTAATGGTGGACAAAATAAAATATTTCCAAACACCAATATTGTGAATGACAACGCACCATGCGCAGTGTGTCAAGCTAAATCACGTGTTAGTCACATGATGATCCCGGCCCGTAATGTGTGTCCTTCTGATTGGACAATGGAGTACAAAGGTTACCTTATGGCAGCACATTATGGTCATAAAGGACGAACCCAGTTCATTTGTGTTGATGGTGATCCCGAGGCAACACATGGATCACACGCTAATACGGATGGAGCATTGCTTTATTTTGTCGAAGGTCATTGTGGTCATTCTCTACCATGTCCACCCTACGTTCATGGCAGAGAGCTGACCTGTGTCGTCTGTACACAGTAACTAAACCCACAAGGATTTTTCATTTATCTAACATTTAAGGATCGTAATTCAACATATTCACAAAAACTTAGCTATACACATAAGCACAAAGTAGAAGTTAGCAGTAAGAAAATATATTTTTACCTAATTAAATAGAACCTTTCCTATCACTTTCTATACTCCAGCTCTCAAACAAAAAAACCCTTTTTCGTTGATTTAATATTTCGATGAAATTTTGCTTTTATATGGGTAGTTAATGTTTGGGGGGATGGTTTAAGCCTGGACAACGTTTCGGGGGTACAACCCTATGAAAGCTGTGTTTACGGAGTAATCTAAGTTGATAGCCTCTATGTCACTGATACATGGTTAAAAAATTATGACTGGTTACAACCCTTGGAGTTTTTCTGTCTAGTCCAGGGGCCGGTTGTACGAAAGCTGGATAGCGCTATCCACCGGACAGTGATTTTTTTAAGCCGGTTTTCCACTAGCGATAATTTTCGCGCGAAGTGACATTTTACTTTTGTTTCAGAGCTCTCAACTGCAACCATCTGGGACAAATTGCTCAAATACAAAGGAATAAATTCGCTTCGCGCGAAAAATATCGCTAGTGGAAAACAGGCATTAATCGTTCGAAAAATGCTCGAAAAGCGATAAAAGTTCATCTTTGGAACAGACAATTGTTAAAGAGACTCCTCGATTTACGAATACTAAGATTTAATCAAAGTTATAATTATGGCAAACAACAGGTGAGTTTAAAACGATTGAAAAAATTTCTATCCAGTGGATAGTGCTATCCGGCTTTCATATATACAACCAGCCCCAGAAAGCTAGTTATATTTCACGTATATATTTTCACCCATTGCCTCGAAATTGCAAGCGGCCGGAGGCGTTTTGACAAATGTTGCGTACAATACTGGATTTAATTACACACAAGGTAACTCACCTCTGTATCCATCTCTGTTTTTCCACGCAAATTCAGTTAATGACTTCCGCAAGTCTCAGTTGATACAAGAATAGTGACCAACTAATAATAAGGAAACAAGGGTAAAAATACTTGAAATGTGCAAACGGTTCCACATGGCAAAAGTCAACACCTTGTATCTACGTGTCATAATATTTGTCTTCTTGATCATCTCTGCTTGGTATAGATAATCAGTGAGGTGAAAGCCAAAGCCATGGAAGACTTCTTTCGATCTGCAGGAGCTATCGCCGATGAAGTTCTGGTTGCCCATTTCACAAATGCCCCATGCGCTGCTGTTCCTGGAAAAGACAGAAGACAAGACCACTGGGGCCCAGTGAACTGGAGTTTGAGGTTGACGAAGTAAATATTTCATAACAATGTCCCTCAATATCAGAAATCTTCAATGTTGACTGAAGGTTCTATTTTCAGCGAAAGATGGTAGAGATGCCACGTTGCGCGGTAAGTAATATATACGGAGGGATATTTATATCATTATACGCGAATAATTGCTTTCGTTGTTAGGTGAACGCGGAAAGGCTGGAGTTCCAGGACCACGTGCCCCACGCTGTTTTAATGGGTCAAATGCTTGTCCTATGTAACATTTCCAGCATGTTTGGCGCTCATATACAAACATTAAACAATATAACCATGCTTTGGTTATGATGTCAATTGTCAAATATTTTGATATGGATAACCACGCTGTTTTTATGGTCAAATGCTTGCCCTATGTAAAGTTTCAAGCATGTTTCGTGCTCATAACAAACATTAAACAATATAACCATGCTTTGGTTATGATGTCAAATATTTTGATATTGATAACCACGCTGTTTTAATGGTCAAATGCTTGTTTTATGTAAAGTTTCAAGCATGTTTCGTGCTCATATACAAACATTAAACAATATAACCATGCTTTGGTTATGATGTCAAATATTTTGATATGGATAACCACGCTGTTTTAATGGTCAAATGCTTGTTTTATGTAAAGTTTCAAGCATGTTTCGTGCTCATATACAAACATTAAACAATATAACCATGCTTTGGTTATGATGTCAAATATTTTGATATGGATAACCACGCTATTTTAATGGTCAAATGCTTGCCCTATGTAAAGTTTCAAGCATGTTTCGTGCTCATATACAAACATTAAACAATATATTAAGCATGCTTTGGTTATGATGTCAAATATTTTGATATGGATAACCACGCTGTTTTATGGTCAAATGCTTGTCCTATGTAAAGTTTCAAGCATGTTTCGTGCTCATATACAAACATTAAACAATATAACAATGCCTTGGTTATGATGTCAAATATTTTGATATGGATAACCACGCTGTTTTAATGGTCAAATGCTTGTCGTATGTAAAGTTGCAAGCATGTTTGGCGCTCATATACAAACATTAAACAATATAACAATGCCTTGGTTATGATGTCAAATATTTTGATATGGATAACCACGCTGTTTTAATGGTCAAATGCTTGCCTTATGTAAAGTTTCAAGCATGTTTCGTGCTCATATACAAACATTAAACAATATAACATGCATGCTTTGGTTATGATGTCAAATATTTTGATATGGACGGCCTTTTGAGATGTCGTTATTCACCTTCTTTGGATTAAATTTTCAATTTGCATAAGCTCGGGTTTAAGCAGGTGGCAAACAATTGGATCTGAGACTGCTTGAAAGTTATGCCTAGTTTCCTTCCATTCAGTCGTTAGCTGTCGTTACATGTCTTTCCGTCTCTTTGGAATAATCGTGAAAGACCGATAACGAATAATGGGAAGAATCATGTCGTTTCCTGTCTTTTTATGTCGTTGAGATAGGATTTGTTCTATCCGAGCGACACTGTCGTTTTCTGTTTCTCTCAGTCGTTATCGGTCTTTCACGATTATTCCAAAGACACGGAAAGACATGCATGTAACGACAGCTAACGACTGAATGGAAACTAGGCATTATGTATGCGGTCCTAAAATCAGCACATTGAGCAATGTCATATTTAGCTACTGAGCCTTCGACCATACCCACTCATATCATTATATTACATTGACAAACGCAATTTTGGGCCGCCTATGACCCACTGCGTTTTTTGGTCTCTGCTAGATACCCGTACTTCTTGCATTCTTAAACGGGACGCTGCGGGTTTTTGTATAATAATATAAGTTGGTATCCACACACGATCTAAAAAAAGAAATCCCAAAAGATTCCCAACTGCTCCACAAAATCCCGAGATCTCGGTACGAATCCCGAACTTGGCAACGCTGTTAAAGGAGAAAGTTCGAAGTGACGAACTTTGTCGCGAAAAAAAAGTAAATTTTCGGATAAGGATAGGTACGTGAAAGGTACGGAAACTGGTTAGTAGTTTTCATGCATGCACCCGCAGTTAACGAAAATGCTACCACAGATATCTTCTTTGTGCCGCAGATGAGGTTAGACATGGCTGGACTTTGCTCTTAAAATCTTAAGAAGTTGCTTACTAACATCTTACCGAAAGTAGAAAGTTACATCAAAATGGCATAAACTTAAAATCTTTCTATAAATTTCGGAGATAGTTTGGAATCCAAATTAACTTCAAATTCGATAAATATATTAAATAATACAATATCAATCACCTATATTCCGTTTACAACAGTTAGTTCATAATCTCCGGTGATAGTTTGCCAGAACATGCCGCATCATATGTCATTTCATAACGTAGTAGGACGAGTATTTTACAGGTAAATTTGTATCTTTACCGCGAAGTTGCATTGTGGACATAAGTTTCGTAAATCTATAGTTCCATTGGATCTATTTTAAACATTTCAACACGTAACTGAACTGAAAATTCTAATTCTTTCGTCTATTTAAAGAAATGAGTGATTTAGCCCGCTATTTCACGACCGAGGAGTCTTTCAGCATAAGAATATTTGATTAGCCTTGTGGCTTCGGGACGAAGAATCGAAGAATCCTTGATATTTTTCAATTATTTGCTATCTAACTTTATCGCTTGAAAAATCATAATTGTTAGCTGCCAATATTGCATAAAAAGAGGCTAATTTCCAACTAATATCGTTATGACCAACATAATCTGACCGTAGCTACTCCTGGTAAAGCCCCAATTTAAATGCCCGCGACGATTTTATTGGATCGTTATTGATTCACGTGATCATATTTCCCAATTTGATTGGATGGATTTCGAGTAACATGTTAACGTCACGTCACCTTTTCGATCTGGATTGCGCATTTAGTTTTGTGAAACATGAGACGCAGACCTTCACCGGAGTTAAAATATTTAACGAAGGGATCTTGGATTGAAAGCCACTGCATCTGAGAAAAAGAAAGGGAAAACTATTGGCCCAGCCAAACGAATCGAGGAAGAAACAATAAAATATTTAAGAAATAGAAAACATTTTCCGTGTTTCTATGCAGTTTAAAAACACGCGTGGGAGTTTCAATTACAAATTCTCATTACATTATCCCGCTTGTGAATTTTGGCGGGAAAAGTCACGTGTTTCTATACAGTTATAGACACGCTTCTCCACCAATCGGCCGGCGCGTACTATAAATGTTAAACTCACTTTGAGCAGAAGACATTTCCACAGTCGCGGCAATGGTGCTTCCTTTCTCGCATTGAAAACTTCACATGACACCCGGTACAGTTGAAACTGCTCTCGTCTTTCACCCAATGATCGGCAATCCGACCTGCGTTACAGACCAACTCTAGTTTATATTGTGTTCGTAATAAAACACACTGGCGGGAAACATAAACTGAACTAGTCTTAATATTCTTGTACGTTTGCATGGTGACAATCGATAAGTAATTAAGCTTGTAGGCTTAATAGCTAATTAGGCTAATTATGCTTAATTAGGCTTAATTAAGCTAATTGCTAATACTATTGATAATTAGGCTAATTGGCTTAATTAGACTTGTAGCTTGCCTACAAGCTTAATTATTTACTGAAGTAGTCGTCTAAGAAGTTTTATGGAATATACCACCAACCTGCGGTATCGCTTACGGACCAACTATAGACGCGGCCTCGGGCGTCTCCGACGAACAATTTCTTATGATCTCTACGCGAAAACAAGAAACAGCAAAAATATAAAAAATGTGCACTTCGTATCAAGCCAATAGACCACTTACAAAATAGACCATCTTATGATCTGGGTCACAACGAGGAAGTAGATCAGCGTACTGAGATTAGTATAATTGCCAAGTTTGGCTGCAAAATATTATGTAGTACGGAAAATATAGCCATGCAAAGTAGTCAATTTTTGTATACTTTTGTATTATGGGCAGAAGTGTGTGACTATTTTATTAAGACTTTTTTTCCATAATACAAGAGTACACAAAATTTGCTAGCTACGCTTTGCTATGTCTTCGGTACTTTCACAGCCAAACTTGGCAATTTTACTAAGTTTAGTATGGCCTTTGCGGAAATTCCTTTTTGTCGCCTAAATCATAAGTTGTTCAGTGATGCCCGGTGGTCAAATGCTCTGCCGATCTTACTTGGATATAAGCATTGCGGTCACGGCTGCTGGCATGCGGTTATCCTCACGAGTGCATGCGGTATGCATGGTCAGCTGTGATCTCTTTACCAGTCTTCTTTTCCATACGGCTAAAACAAAGAATACGATAGTTAGTGCGTTGTTCCTTAGCGCAGAATAGTCCAGGCCGGAAAGAAGTTGTCCAACAATAATTTGCAATGGTAAAAATAAATTTAAAAATCCTTTCAGCATTTCTGTGAAAAGACTATTGATCACATATCCCAATTTGATTGGATAGATTCGACTAAGATGATCCTAATTTTGGATTGCAAACTTGTGATGCAGGCATTTTGTTTTGGAAAGGCCTAAATGTGGAAGGATAAGCTCGGGAAACCGGAAAGGATCTACCTGGTTCAACAGGTTTTTCCTGTTTTACTGTTGGAGTTTCGGAATCGTCGATGATTACGTAGTCTTCTGAAGGACTGAGGCTCTTAGCAATGTCCTGCCCAGGAACAGTTAATTCGTTTTGCTGTAATTCGGTCTCTTCCTCCGCCTCTTCTGCCGCTTCTTCTGAAGAGGAAATTGTGCTTCTTGATCCTTAAATGGAAACACCACGGTTGATTTCAGCGTGACGGGAATTATTACGTTATTAATAATATTAGTTCATTAAATTCGTATGGTAGTAAAAATTGAATTACATATCATTATGATAATAGTATTGAATATCATACAAATACTGAATTATTTAAATAAGATTAGAAAATGACTACCAGTCTACCTAAATAGGCCTAATATAAGGTTGTATACAGCAATAATGGCAATCTCGTACCCAGGGTCTCCTCTGAAACTGATTTGATAGATTTGAGATCAAAGTCATCATATGAAGACCATGGGTACGAGGTTGCGAGTTTTTTATAGTATAGATCAGTCTAAGATTAAAATGTAAAATGAAATATATGTATTTTACTATAACAAAGTCAAATATTTGTTACAGTAAAATATAAAGTTACAAAATATGTTACAAAATATGTTACAAAGTAATATGTTACATTTATATGCAATATGTTACAAAATATGCTACAAAGTCACATATTTTAACTACTAGAGCGAAATGTTAAAAAATAATTTATTGCTATGAATAAATACGACGTTCTGGTGTGGTTGGAGAAGGACGGAAGGTGCATATGGTGTCGTAATGAAGTTTAGAAATAGGGAAACAAATTATGTTGCTAGTGTAAGAACAATTATTGCACTTGAAAGTTTTCGTTTGACAATGGGGGTTACGAACAGGCAAAGCCAACCCGTCAATTAACTATAACATCAACATACCTTGGTCGCTCGTCCTGGATAATTTGGCACTTTCTTCAGAGAACTCCACACTCCACATCTTGAAAGAAAAGATAAGAATAAGAGAAAAGTAGATGCGATTGTCTACCTTTGATCGATGTGAACGAGGAACTATTTACGATATCCTTATTTCTATGCGACATACAGTATATCTGGGACGGTTGTATGAAAGCCGGAAAGCGCTAAAATTGCTTGAAAAGCAATAAATAAGAAAATGTTTTCTCGTTCTTCAGCTTTGGAACCAACAATTATTAAAGGGGATCCTCGATTAAGAAATACTAAGATTTAATCAAATTTATACTCAACAACGGGTGATTTTAAAGCGATTGAAAAAAAAACACTATCCAATGGATAGCGCTGCCCAGCTTTAATACAACTGGCCCCTTGACTATTAGGCCTGTCTCAGACGTCAAATTTTTCATTGGCCGAACCTTAAACGAGCCTTTCGAAGTTCACCATCTTGTAAATTCTAAAATATAGACTAAAGCCCACTTTACACTACACTCAATCGGCACGGCACGGCTAAAAATATTCGTATCGGTGGTCCCGAACCCAATTTTATTAGTGTTCAGGCTGCCAAAACAAAGGCAACGGCATTTTAGCCGTGCCGTAATCGTGCATAAGTAACGACCCATAAATCGGGTATAAGTAACGACCCTTTTTTACGAGACTAACCTTAACCACTCCGTCTTGATCCCCAGTGAGTATCACGTCTTCATCCCATTCAGACAACTGAAAGAAAATAATCGAATCTTGAGAAACTATCTCTGGCAAAGGCGGACGCACCATGCAACCTACATGCCGTAATTATTTATTCTCGGTTTGATAACAGACGATTGAAGAATAAGTAGAGATCAAACTCGGCATATAACTTAATTTGACATCTTTGAAAGTTTATAAATATATTCCATGCAGTGAATTATTCAAACGTTTTTTCTGATATTTCAACAACGCGTACGGGGAGGAAAAGATAACCCGGATGGAGATTCTCGCTAGAATGGCAACCCTACAGTTAAGTTTTCAATTTTCATCACAGGTGTGATGGGAGGATCATATTTTAATGATCCTGGTGGAGCTTCAAACTACCTCTGGGCTCTGTCTACCTTTGAATCCGATTTTTGAGAAATACGTCGATCGGATTCAAGGGTCGACGTATATGGACGAATCCAAGTTAATTTGTGTTGATGGTGATCCCGAGGCTATACATGGATCACACGCTGATACGAATGGAGCATTGCTTTATTTTGTTGAAGGTTATTGCAGTCATGAACTACCATGTCCACCCTACGTTCATGACAGAGAGCTGACCTGTGTCGTCTGTACACAGTAACTAAACCCAGGAGGATTTTTCGTCACTTCACTAACATTTAACAACACTAATTTAGTATCATCAAAGCTGCACAGTTAACCTCATAATAACCATTTGAAACAATGAGACAATATTAACACAAAAAGCACCTTCTCTCCTACCGAATATATCGCATTTAATAGCACATTTTTACAACCACTTTATCGCATCCCATATGTTATCATTGAATAAATCACTAAAACCTCTATGATCATGGGTTAACCAGCGTTAAACGACATCAAATCGATTTGTATACGGACAATATTTCATATTAAAAGTACACCTTAATTATCATGTTCATACAACATTCAATCCTAATTTGCATCAAGGGTAAATAAGATTTTCTATGCAAAGTACTTGTAGCGTGTTTTATCCTGTACAATCCGCTCAGCAGAGCATCACCCATGCATTACATGCGACACGAGAAATACTCCAACAGGTAGTAAAAATACTGCACAATCGCCTGACTGTTTTACATTGATCATTAAATTTCTAGGCAACTTTAAAATCTACCGAAATTTTGGAAATTATTATCTTGTTCAATCAATCCTGCTCAGAATCGAATCCACAATTTGACACAACAGGAAAGGTTTTAACAAAGGTTTAATTAAAAGAAATGTAAATATCATTCTTCCAAAAATGTGAAACATTTTCTTCCTTCAGCAAAGTAATTCGTAAATAAAATGTTCACGTGGTTCCAAAGAAGATTCTGATTGGATGAGGTTGAGAGAAAACGATGTGATTGGCTAAGAACCACGATACTGTTATCTTCCTTGATTCATTACAAAATAATCGTTTATTTCGAAACACAATCATTCTGAGGGTTTAAGTTGAGAGATATCACACGTTATATTAGATTTTGTTTAAAAAGATCTAAACCATGAAGAATATTTTGATTTCTTGCTTCGTTCTGCTGTGTTTATCGCTGGTTTTCGCCAAGGAAGATCAACGTGAATTAATACAACGAAGGTAATCCAAAAGTTTATTACGTTTGATTTTAGCGAACGATGTTCAGATTGGCGGCTTTGTCAGTTCTCTTCAAAGCTGTTTGCTAGTGTAGGCAGACTGTGCCTAGCTTGGAGTGATAGAAAGATCTCTTGGTAAGAGCAAGTGATTATTCCAGATGATAACAGACGCTGTCATGTTCTTTTCTTCCAGCAGCGGCCTCGTAAAGCGAACGACAAATCCATCCCCTTGTACAGGACCTCAAGGATTGCCAGGTCGTGATGGTATGTGGCCTTGTTTTGAAATATTCCATTATTTTACCTCAATATTCTCCACGATTTTGAGAAATTCTTATATCACGCTGTCAAATAATTAGCTCAATTTAGGCTAGAGGCTCCAAATAGGCTCCAAGATACCAGAACTTGATATTGTTTTAAATTCCGTTTTCAGGAAAAGATGGTAAAGATGGCAAAGATGGCAGAGATGCCTCGCTACGCGGTAAGTTAATTACCTTGAGTCAAATTGAAGAGTTTCGCCACAAACGACACGTCAATAATCTACCAATTGGTTTAGAAAATATATTCGAGTATTCATATGCAAATGAATCCTTTTTTGAAAGATGATTGTTGGAATTGAAACAACAATGTTTTAGAATGACAGACATTTGTACAAAGATGATTTATAATTGATTTTGTTTTTCAGGTGAACGCGGAAGAAAAGGTGCTCCAGGACCACAAGGCCCCCCGGGGCCACCAGGAAACGCCTCGCGAGGTGTGGTTTACACCAGATGGGGACGAAAACATTGCCCTTCGAAAAGCATCGAGATGTATTCTGGTAAGAAACTATTTCATATTTCACTCAGCCACAATATATATTGTATACGTAGATTTCCCTACATCCTTCCTACGTATGTCAAAGGGACTCTTTCGTTATATGATTTTGAAAGCAAGACCGCTTGGCAATTATCTCTAATTATTGATTAAAATTACATTTGTGCACCGTTGAGTTAAGTTTACTCGCACCTGCGAAATCAAACCTTTCAATTTGCCTTTTAAAGAGTTTGTATATTCCTGGAATTCTTATTTGAAGAGAACTGTTTTGCTGGTACGATATATAACACAAGACGTTATGAGCTAGACTTTCTTGATATTTAAGAATGAAAACAAATAATTTAGGGAACAGCAAGCGCACAGTGAACTTTTTCATTACAATTACAGGTGTGATGGGAGGATCATATTACAACCATCATGGTGGAGCAGCGAACTATCTCTGTCTACCATTTAATCCGATTTTCGAGAAATACGTCGATGGATTTCAAGGATCGGCAAATATTCACGGGACAGAGTACGAAGCAGTTGGTAAACAAAACAAAATATTTCCAAACACCAATATTGAAGATGACAACGCACCATGCGCAGTGTGTCAAGCTAAATCACGTGTTAGTCACATGATGATCCCGGCTCGTAATGTGTGTCCTTCTGGTTGGACAATGGAGTACAAAGGTTACCTCATGACCGCACATTATGGTCACAAAGGACGCACTCAGTTCATTTGTGTTGATGGTGATCCCGAGGCTATACATGGATCACACAGAAATACGGATGGAGCATTGCTTTATTTTGTTGAAGGTTATTGCAGTCGTGAACTACCATGTCCACCCTACGTTCATGGCAGAGAGCTGACCTGTGTCGTCTGTACACAGTAACTATATTTAACCTGCAATGATTTTTCATCACTTCACTAACATTTAACGACACTAATTTAGTATCATCAAAGCCGCACAGTTAACCTCATAATAACCATTTGCAACAATGAGACAATATTAGCACGAAAAGCACCTTTTTTTCTACAAAATATATCGCATTTAATAGCACGTTTTCACAACCACTGTAAAGGCTTTTGTTGCAATAAAATTAGTCGGAAGCCGAAGATGACGTAATGCTGACGTATGCCACACGTATATGAATATATTGTCAACTGATGTTTCGAAATCACAATTAAAAAATTTAACTATTTATTACATTAGAGCTTTGCTGTCTGTTAAATAACATAACTTGATGAAATATTTCAAGCGCTCATTAATCTCTTTAATTCACGAGCATTTCAGCTAAACTGTTTCAAAAGATAATCTATAACATGCAATCGTGCTATACATGACAAAATGTTTATTATTATATTAATTTTATGTAGCTTCATCCTAATTTGCATCAAGTTTGAATACGACTTCCTATTTAAAATACTTGTAGCGTGTTTTATCCTGTGCAACCATCAGAGCGTCACAAATCACTTTCAGTAAACACTTCAATAAATACCGAAAAAACGCGCCAAAGTTTACTTTTAATCTTTAAATTTCCAGGCAACCTCAAAATCTCAGCGAAATTTCGGATATAATTACTTATTTAATCAATCCTGTTCGGAATGAAACACAAGTTGACACAATAATTATTAAGCTTGACTTAACAAATATGTGTAAAAATTCTCCAAGAATGTGAAACCTGTTCTTCCTTCAGCAAAAAGGTTCGTAAATGAAATGTTCACGTGGTTTTAAAGAGGTTTCTGATTGGATGAGGTTGACAGAAAAGGATGTGATTGGCTAAGAACCACGATACTGTTCTCTTCCTTGATTCATTACAAAAGAATTGTTTATTTCAAAACACAATCATTCTGACGATTTGAGCCGAGAGATATCACACGTTATATTAAATTTTGGTAAGAAAAAAGTGTAAACAATGAAGAATATTTCGAGTTTTTGCTTCTTTCTGTTGACGTTAACGCTGGTTTTCGCGAAGGAAGATGAACGTGAATTAACACAACGAAGGTAATCCACAAGTTTATTACGTTTGATTTTAGCGAACGATATTCAGATTGGTGGCTTTGTCAGTTCTCTTGAAAATTGTTTGTCAGTGTAGGCAGACTGTGTCTAGCTTGGAGTGATAGAAAGATCGCTTGGTAAGAGCAAGTGATTATTCCAGATGATAACAGACGCTGTCATGTTCTTTTCTTCCAGCAGCGGCCTCGTAAAGCGAACGACAAATTCATCCCCTTGTACAGGACCTCAAGGATTGCCAGGTCGTGATGGTATGAGGCCTTGTTTTGAAATATCTCATCATGTTACCTCAATATTCTTCTCGGTTTTTACAAATTCTTAAATCACGCTGTCAAGTAATCAGCTCAATTTAGGCTAGAGGCTTCAAATAGGCTCCAAGATACCAGAACTTGATATTGTTTTAAATTACGTTTTCAGGAAAGGATGGTAAAGATGGCAGAGATGGTAGAGATGCCTCGCTACGCGGTAAATTTTTAAATTGAAGTTAAAATTGAAGAGTTTCGCCACAAACGACACGTCACATAATCTATCAATTGGTTTGGAAAATATATTCGAGTATTCATATGCAAATGATCCTTTTTGAAAGATGATTGTTGTAATTGCAACAACAATGTTTTAGAATGACAGACATTTGTACAAAATAATTAATTTTGATTTTTGTTTTGTCTGAACGCGGAAGAATAGGTGCTCCAGGACCACAAGGCCCCCCGGGGCCACCAGGAAAAGCCTCGGGAGGTGTGGTTTACACCAGATGGGGACGAAAACATTGCCCTTCGAAAAGCATCGAGATGTAGTCTGGTGAGAAGCTATTTCATATTTCACTCAGCCAGAATATATATTGTATACGTAGATTTCCCTACATCCTTCCTACGTATGTTAAAGGGACTCTTTCGTTATATGATGTTGAAAAGCAAGACCGGTTGGCAATGATCTCTGATTATTGATTAAAATTACATTTGTCCACCGTTGAGTTAAGTTTACTCGAACCTGCGAAATGACACGTTTGAATTTGCCTTTTAAAGAGTTTGTATATTCCTGGATTCTTATTTGAAGAGAATTGTTTTGTTGTCACGATATATAACACAAGACATTATAAGCTAGACTTTCTTGGTATTTCAGAATGAAAATAAATAATCTAGGCAACAGCAAGCACACAGTAAACTCTTTCATTACAATTACAGGTGTGATGGGAGGATCATATTTCAACCATCATGGTGGAGCAGCAAACTACCTCTGTCTACCTTTGAATCCGATTTTCGAGAAATACGTCAATGGATTTCAAGGATCGGCAAATATTCACGGGACAGAGTACGAAGCAGTTGGTGAACAAAACAAAATATTTCCAAACACCAATATTGAAGATGACAACGCACCATGCGCAGTGTGTCAAGCTAAATCACGTGTTAGTCACATGATGATCCCGGCTCGTAATGTGTGTCCTTCTGGTTGGACAATGGAGTACAAAGGTTACCTCATGACCGCACATTATGGTCACAAAGGACGCACTCAGTTCATTTGTGTTGATGGTGATCCCGAGGCTACGCATGGATCACACAAAAGTACGAATGGAGCATTGCTTTATTTCGTTGAAGGTTATTGCAATCATGAACTACCATGTCCACCCTACGTTCAAGGCAGAGAGCTGACCTGTGTCGTCTGTACACAGTAACTAAACCCACAAGGATTTTTCAACACTTGATTAACATTTAACAACACTAATTTAGTATCATCAAAGCTGCACAGTTAACCTCATAATAACCATTTGAAACAACGAGACAATATTAGCAAGAAAAGCACCTTACTTTACTACAAAAATATATCGCATTTAATAGCATATTTTCACAATCACTGTAATAGTTTTTGTCGCAATAAAATTGGTTGAACCAATAATTGTTTATAGACGTGCTGTTCAGAATGGTGAAGGCTCTTGGTGGATGTTAAAAAAAGAAAGGTCGGAAGCGGATGATGACGTAATGCCACAGGAATACGAATATATTGCAAAACTAATGTTTCGAAATCATAGTTAATTCATTAGAGCTTTGCTGTCTGATAAATAAACTCACACTAGAGGATTGTCGTTAAAAATAAATTGATGAAATATTTCAAACACTCACTAATTCACGAGCATTCCAACTAAACTATTTCAAACGATAATCTATAACATGCAATCGTGCTATTGGTGACAAAATGTTTATTATTATATTTATGTAGCTACTAATACTTCATCCTAATTTGCATCAGGTTTGAATACGATGTCCTATTTAAAATACTTGTAGCGTGTTTTATCCTGTGCAACCATTAGAGCGTCACCAATTACTTTCACTAAACACTTCAATACGAGAAATAAATACCGAAAAAACGCGCCAAAGTTTACTTTTAATCTTTCAATGTCCAGGCAACCTCAAAATTTCAGCGAAATATCGGATAATTACCGTTTCCAATCAATCCTGTTCGAGGTTAAACATCAAGTGGACACAGTAATTATTAAGCTTGACTTCACAAATATATGTAAAAAATTCTCCAAAAATGTGAAAACTGTTCTTCCTTCAGCAAAATAGTTCGTAAATCAAATGTTCCCGTGGTTGCAAAGAAGATTCTGATTGGATGAGGTTCACAGAAAACGATGTGATTGGCTAAGAACCACGATACTGTTCTCTTCCTTGATTCATTACAAAAGAATTGTTTATTTCAAAACGCAATCATTATGACGATTTGAGCTGAGAGATATCAAACGTTATATTAGATTTTGTTAAGAAAAAAGTGTAAACCATGAAGAATATTTCGAGTTTTTACTTCGCTCTGCTATGTTTATCGCTGGTTTCCGCCAAGGAAGATGAACGTGAATTAACACAACGAAGGTAATCCACAAGTTTATTACGTTTGATTTTAGCGAACAATATTCAGATTGGCGGTTTTGTCAGTTCTCTTGAAAGTTGTTCGATTGTGCCTAGCTTGGAGTGATAGAAAGATCGCTTGGTAAGAGCAAGTGATTATTCCAGATGATAACAGACGCTGTCATGTTCTTTTCTTCCAGCAGCGCCCTCGTAAAGCGAACGACAAATCGATCCTCTTGTACAGGACCTCAAGGATTGCCAGGTCGTGATGGTATGTAGCCTTGTTTTGAAATATCTCATTATGTGAGCTTAATAATCCTCTCGGTTTTTACAAATTTTTAAATCACTCTGCAACAAAGAATCAGCTCAATTTAGGCTACAGGCTCCAAATAGGCTCCAAGATACCAGAAGTTGATATTGTCTAAAATTCCGTTTTCAGGAAAGGATGGTAAAGATGGCAGAGATGGCAGAGATGCCTCGCTACGCGGTAAGTTTTTTACTTTAAGTCAAAATTGAAGAGTTTCGCCACAAACGACACGTCACATAATCTACCAATTGGTTTGGAAAATATATTCGAGTATTGATATGTAAATGATCCTTTTTGAAAGATGATTGTTGTAATTGCAACAACAATGTTTTAGAATGACAGACATTTGTACAAAGATGATTTATAATTGATTTTGTTTTTCAGGTGAACGCGGAAGAAAAGGCGCTCCTGGACCACAAGGCCACCCGGGGCCACCAGGAAACGCCTCGGGAGGTGTGGTTTACACCAGATATGGACGAAAACATTGCCCTTCGAAAAGCATCGAGATATACTCTGGTGAGAAGCTATTTCATATTTCACTCAGCCAGAATATATATTGTATACGTATAGATTTCCCTACATAAAGGGACTCTTTCGTTATATGATCTTGAAATGCAAGACCGTTTGGCAATAATCTTATTGATTAAAATTACATTTGTCCACCGTTGAGTTAAGTTTACTCGAACCTGCGAAATCACACCTTTGAATTTGCCTTTTAAAGAGTGTATATTCCTGGAATTCTTATTTGAAGAGAACTGTTTTGTTGCTACGATATATAACACAAGACGTTATGAGCTAGACTTTCTTGGTATTTAAGAATGAAAACAAATAATTTAGGGGACAGCAAGCCCACAGTGAACTCTTTCATTACAATTACAGGTGTGATGGGAGGATCATATTACAACCATCATGGTGGAGCAGCGAACTACCTCTGTCTACCTTTGAATCCGATTTTCGAGAAATACGTCAATGGATTTCAAGGATCGGCAAATATTCACGGGACAGAGTACGAAGCAGTTGGTGAACAAAACAAAATATTTCCAAACACCAATATTGAAGATGACAACGCACCATGCGCAGTGTGTCAAGCTAAATCACGTGTTAGTCACATGATGATCCCGGCTCGTAATGTGTGTCCTTCTGGTTGGACAATGGAGTACAAAGGTTACCTCATGACCGCACATTATGATCACAAAGGACGCACTCAGTTCATTTGTGTTGATGGTGATCCCGAGGCTACGCATGGATCACACGTAAATACGAATGGAGCATTGCTTTATTTTGTTGAAGGTTATTGCAATCATGAACTACCATGTCCACCCTACGTTCATGGCAGAGAACTGACCTGTGTCGTCTGTACACAGTAACTAAACCCACAAGGATTTTTCATCACTTGATTAACATTTAACAACACTAATTTAGTATCATCAAAGCTGCACAGTTAACCTCATAATAACCATTTGCAACAATGAGACAATATTTGCACGAAAAGCACCTTCTTTTCTACAAAATATATCCCATTTAATAGCATATTTTCACAATCACTGTAATATTTTTTGTCGCAGTAAAATTGGTTGAACCAATAATTGTTTATAGACGTGCTGTTCAAAATGGTGAAGGCTCTTGGTGGATGTTAAAAAAAGAAAGGTCGGAAGCGGATGATGACGTAATGCCAAAGGGAATATGAATATATTGTTAACTAATGTTTCGAAATCATAGTTAATTCATTAGAGCTTTGCTGTCTGATAAATAAACTCACAATAGAGGATTGTCGTTAAACATAAATTGATGAAATATTTCAAACGCTCATTAATCTGATTATTTCACGAGCATCTCAGCTAAACTGTTTCAAAAGATATCTATAACACGCAATAGTGCTATACGTGACAAAATGTTTATTATTATATTTATGTAGCTAATACTTCATCCTAATTTGCATCAAGTTTGAATACGACTTCCTTTTTAAAATACTCGTAGCGTCTTTTACCCTGTGCAACCATCAGAGCGTCACCAATTACTTTCAGTAAACACTTAAATAAATACCGAAAAAACGCGCCAAAGTTTACTTTTAATCTTTAAATTTCCAGGCAACCTCAAAATCTCAGCGAAATTTCGGATATAATTACTTATTTAATCAATCCTGTTCGGAATGAAACATCAAGTTGACACAGTAATTATTAAGCTTGACTTAACAAATATGTGTAAAAAATTCTCCAAGAATGTGAAAGCTGTTCTTCCTTCAGCAAAAAGGTTCGTAAATGAAATGTTCACGTGGTTTTAAAGAGGTTTCTGATTGGATAAGGTGGACAGAAAAGGATGTGATTGGCTAAGAACCACGATACTGTTCTCTTCCTTGATTCATTACAAAAGAATTGTTTATGCAAAACACAATCATTCTGACGATTTGAGCCGAGAGATATCAAACGTTATATTAGATTTTTCTAAGAAAAAAGTCTACACCATGAAGAATATTTCGAGTTTTTGCTTCGTTCTGTTGTGTTTATCGCTGGTTTTCGCCAAGGAAGATGAACGTGAATTAACACAACGAAGGTAATCCACAAGTTTATTACGTTTGATTTTAGCGAACAATATTCAGATTGGCGGCTTTGTCAGTTCTCTTCAAAGCTGTTTGCTAGTGTGGGCAGACTGTGCCTAGCTTGGAGTGATAGAAAGATCTCTTGGTAAGAGCAAGTGATTATTCCAGATGATAACAGACGCTGTCATGTTCTTTTCTTCCAGCAGCGGCGTCGTAAAGCGAACGACAAATCGATCCTCTTGTACAGGCCCTCAAGGATTGCCAGGTCGTGATGGTATGTACGTGGCCTTGTTTTGAAATATCTCATCATGTGAGCTTAATAATCCTCTCGGTTTTTACAAATTTTTAAATCACTCTGCAACAAAGAATCAGCTCAATTTAGGCTACAGGCTCCAAATAGGCTCCAAGATACCAGAAGTTGATATTGTCTAAAATTCCGTTTTCAGGAAAGGATGGTAAAGATGGCAGAGATGGCAGAGATGCCTCGCTACGCGGTAAGTTTTTTACTTTAAGTCAAAATTGAAGAGTTTCGCCACAAACGACACGTCACATAATCTACCAATTGGTTTGGAAAATATATTCGAGTATTGATATGTAAATGATCCTTTTTGAAAGATGATTGTTGTAATTGCAACAACAATGTTTTAGAATGACAGACATTTGTACAAAGATGATTTATAATTGATTTTGTTTTTCAGGTGAACGCGGAAGAAAAGGTGATCCAGGACCACAAGGCCCCCCGGGGCCACCAGGAAAAGCCTCGGGAAGTGTGGTTTACACCAGATGGGGACGAAAACATTGCCCTTCGAAAAGCATCGAGATGTATTCTGGTAAGAAACTATTTCATTTTATAATCAGTCATAATATTATTCAGCCTCGTTCTTCTCGCTAGAATGACAAGCCTACAGTTAAGTTTTCAATCTTCATCACAGGTGTGATGGGAGGATCATATTTTAATGTTGCTGGTGGAGCTTCAAACTACCTCTGTCTAC